CCGTGAGCAAGCTGCTCCAGGGCAAAACCAGAGGCTGTCAGACACCTGCTGAGGAGGTGCCTCGGTCCGGGAATGACATCGCCTCTCTGCCCCACAGGGGTGCTTGTGGCAAAGGCTGCTGCTGCAGCTAGTGACCCCAAACCAACCCCACAGGCCACCAGGCTGCTGTTGGATCCAGAGAAGGCACAGCCCCACACAAGGCATCCTAACATGGCTGAGGGGGGGACAGGCTGCCCGCCTGTGCCCGTGCTCTCCACTGCTGCTGGGGAGTTCCTCCCAGACTACTCTGTGAGGAAGTGGCCAGTGTCTCCATGGCTTCGGCCCCAGCCAGGATCCCTCCCGAAAGCCCCCAGGAGCCCTGGGGACACCCTAGCCGCTGCTCCCCATCCCAAGCCCTTTCTGCGTGGGCCTGCCTGGAGTAGCCCATGAAGGACTCTGCCCGCTCCTAGGCAATGGCAGGCAGCGAGCAGCCCTGTGCAGCTCCCCTGCTGCTGCCAGCCGACTGGCTCCCCCACACTGTGCCCCGTGGGGCCACCACACCTCCTGGGGAGTCCCCCCCACGGGGCTAAGGGCTCCTGCCAGGAGCCAGCAAGGGCGGAGGGGGGAAACATGGGGGCTGCTTACCTCTGACTGGCACTCAATCAAACTCTCCATGTTCCCAGCATTTAGTGTCTTTGACTAAGCAAGAAAACAAAGACTGAATGTGAGTAATTTGATGCTGTAGTTTAGAAATCAGTGCTTTTCAAAGTCACTCTGTTGACAGAGCTGAAACAATAAAGACACTCACAGTATTACAGCTGCTTAACACTTTCATTAGGAGTTTAATCGGAGGAACTCTGGTCACTCTGGTTTCCTTGGGTCCTTTTGTTTGCCTGTTTGTTGAACAGGGAATGGACAAAGAAAAAGCTCTGTAACACTGAACCCTTCTTTTCTCTCCCCTGCAAGCCAGTCTAGCATTTAAATATGATCCTGAAACAGCAAGATATCTCACACAAGTCAATCAGAAAGCAATGCTCACTGGAAGTCCCTCTCTCTAGTGCACTCAGTCCTGCTGCTCTGTGTGCCTCTTTCTATTAAAATAGAAAAAAAAAATCTTTCCGTTATCAGTCCATGCAAAAAATGAGCAAGTGGTGACAGCTACACAAGGCTGGTGTTAATTTGCAAACAGAAGGTGAAGCACCTCAGTCAGCTCTGCCCAAGAGCTACACACAGCAGTGGGTACATCTATCCCCCATGTATATTTCTGTATGTCTATGTACAGCTATATCTGGAGCACTCCACTGACTTGGACCATAACGCCACAAATTTAATTCCAGGCAGGACTTACCCGAGGAGAGAGTCCAGCCAGAGCTCCTTCACCTCCCGCGAACTGCTGAGAGAAGGAGAAACAGCATCAACCCCCACTGCTACTAATCCCTTGGACAGACACAGGCAACTAAACAGTTCTACCCCACGTGTGCTGCATTATATATGCAGGACGGAGGCAGGTGGAAATTCGCAGAGACAGGAAGAAGCATCATGGGGCAGGACAAAGACGCTGCAAAATTTCTGGCTTCCTCTTTCCTTTTAGAGGAGCTGCTTTTTTTTTTATTTTCCCCTTGAAGAAAAAAAAAAAGAAAGCCCTTGTAGCTGTTATGCACGGAAAAGATGAGACATTTGCCAGGTTTGGTTCCACGTAGCATCACCATCATGAGGTGGGATGTGCAGAGGGGGCTGCAGTGTGGGCAGGTTCACATTACTGTTAAAGGGCAACAGGTACTGTCTATACTTTGCCCACTCAGAGACTTTACATTTTGCAGTTAAAAGATTCCCCACCAGATCAAGTTTTGCTTTACACTGAGGATATTTAAAAAGGGGGGAGGTGGGAATAGACAAGATTCAGAGAAATGTTTTTGTATATTTTTCAAAAAACTGTAATAGCGACAGCTGTCTTAAAGCAATGTAGACCCACATTTTGCAGGTGCCTGCAAGTACTTCTGAGCATTAGACTGGCTGGGGATGGATTACGTGAAAAAGTGACACTGGCTCGTGAGCTTTTCATTGTTGAAGATGAATGAAATTAAAAAAGATAAGCTGTCTAAAAAGCAAAAGAGAACTCCAATTTCTAAATATTATTCTACTTATACAAAAGAAGTGGCATTAAGTAACCATACAGTAAAGTATAGCAATATGTAATTACAAGTCATTATTAAAATATTTCCTAATGTGTTTAAGTAATAAGAGAGTTTAATCCAACTGAAGAGGTCAAGAAATCCAGGCAAAAGCTACCTCTGTTCTCTGTGTTCTCCTCAATTCCTCTACATAGTACATTAGCATCTGTTACTTACTCCCCCAGCCTAGGCACTTAACTTCTTTACTTCCATTTAGCCATCGGGAACATGAAGGCAACAGCACCCACTGTATAGGGCCTTTATGAAAATTCAGCAATGTTTGCAAAATGTAGATGTTCCTTGGATGGGAAGGGCTACTAAGAAAATCAATTTTATTTATTGCAAAATAGAGGAAGAAGGGTCATTTCTTTCTTTTCCACATAACTGGGCCATACTTTCACTTCTATCTTCTTTAAGCTGTTAAAGCTGGATGGGACACAGGAGCTGCAGTCACCAGTCACCACAAGCTGGGCCAGAATGTCCTGCCCAGCCTGCTCTGATGAGAGTCACCCAGCCAAATACAGACAGCTGTTATAGTGATCTCTGCATGCAGGGCAGTTGTTTGGCGGCCTAACTTTTTAAGTGGTGGAGAGATAGAGTAGATAGGAGAGGTGAGTCACACCTTCCCAGGACTTGTTGCTTTCTGTGGACTACAACACAAGTCCAGCTGATGAGCTCAGATTTTACCATCTACACTATAGGTATCTAAGGCTGGGTGAGATTGATGCTGCCCAAAGGGTCGGTATGTCTGCACTGTTTTTCTTCCCTACCAGCTCTTGGCACTTTTCTGCTTTATTTTCACCATTTCATAGTATAAATTTGACAACTGGTCTTCATGCAAAGGAGCCTCATAGTGGTGTAAATGTAATGCCCAAAAGAATCAAGACCTCTCTTTGTACAGTGCCCTGCTCTAGATACTCCTGATTATAAAAGGACTTCAGGCAGAAGTAGTAATTGCAATTAAGCCACACAAAACCACTGTACTTATTTCCACTGTGTATGCTATAGGCAAGAAAACTGTGTAAAACAGAGATGGAATTCAGGGTGTGAATCAAAGGGTTGGGAACATGTCAGAGAACCACAGAATCACAGAATGGTTGAGGTTGGAAGGGACCTCTGGAGATCATCTAGTCCAACCCTCCTGCTCAAGCAGTGTCATCTAGAAGACACTGCCCAGGAATGTCTCCAGACAGGTTTTGAATATCTCCAGGGAAGGAGACTCCACAGCCTCTCTGGGCAACCTGTGCCAGTGCTCAGTCACCCTCACAGGAAAGAAGTTTTTCCTCATGTTCAGACAGAACTTGCTGTGTTTCACTTTGGGCCCGTTGCCTCTCGTCGTATCGCTGGGCACCACTGAGAAGAGTCTGGCCTCATACTCTTGACACCCTCCCTTCAGATACTTATACACATTGATCAGATCCCCCCTCAGTCTTCTCTTCTCCAGGCTCAACAGGCCCAGCTCCCCGAGCCTTTCCTCATAGGACAGATGCTTCAGTCCCTTCATCCTCTTAGGAGCCCTTCGCTGGACTTGCTCCAGTATGTTCATGTCTCTCTTGTACTGGGGAGCCCACAACTGGACACAGGACTCCAGGGGAGGCCTC